TTTTTTACAGTACACGTTGCATAAGTGTATACATTGTTGGGAAAGCTGGAGTTTTATATTATATTTTTACCGATATTCGAATCAACAAAATTTTCGAAAGAATTAAAAATTAAGTTTTTAAAATAATAAACTTCTTGCATAAAAGGGCCAGTCTTTTTACCTCCAGATAAATATGGTTACTACCTGAAGGATAGATATTTATTTATAAAATACAATGTACACTTCCTGTCATATAAAACTGGTACACTTTTTTTACCAATGTAAACCTGTGTTCAGAAATCAATTCGTTGTTGGCATTACAGATAACGGAATTACAATAAATCCAAATAAAAAAATAACGTTCAAAAATGTATAAAATTTCTGGGTATTATTTTTATCATTACCAAAAAAAGTGAATCTAAGAAATTAAATAAGCAGAGATAGGGTTGAGATATTATTCAAAATGTTTGAAGGATCTTTAAACCTAGGGTATTGGTACAGGAAACATTGGAATGCATCTACTGTAATTTTATATTTCAATTACCTACCGAACTCGTACTGTATTCTGTGTCAATAATTTTAATATGCAAACTACCCGGACTAATTTATTATTTATTACAAGAACGATAAAAAATGTGTAAAACTGACATTATACTTTATCCTACGTATTATATACTAGAAAATGTTCGGTGCGAAAAAACGCTTTTCAAAACGTAACAGTAACAATCCAATATCTCATTGAAATGTTTATTATAATAATTTGAAGTGTGTCTAGATTGATTATCTGTCAGTATTTTTGAGTTGAAATATTTTCATAAATTGTTATAAAATATAAATCAATATATTATGAGTATTTAATTGACCTGAAGGAAAATTACAAAATTAATATGAGAATTTTTTTGGATGCATGTTTAAACAAATTTAATGTGAATGACTGATTAAGAATGCTCGATAATGTTTAAGTTTTTAGTACACTCAAAACTGGCGGTCTGTCACATAGCCTTGCTTTTAGCTGGTTTTATATAATATTTTCGTTGAACTGGCAACGGTGCCCTAGAAATCAGAATGACACATTTGACAAGATCAACATACACAGCTTAAAAAACATGATTTTTGATTATAAGAGATATACCAGTTTTTTATGACGGGAACGGTACCTGTCTTTTCACGTCAAATTATGTTGCGGTTACTTATCTGTGATATAAATGTAAAATTTATTTCGGAACACATCAATATTTAATTAATTGTCAAAGAAATCATAATAATGTTTATTTTTTTCTTTTGATTATATAATTTGTGGTGGCATGAATAAGGTAAATTGAATAACAAATAAAAAGATAATACATGTTTAATTATTCTTCTCAGGTTTTTCCATTACAATAAAATATTATATAAGGTTAGTTCAAACATCTTCACTTTAAAAAAGTTGAGTAATGTCTTCATTTAGCAATTTATCTTAAATTGCTGATCTTTATCTAAATTGTCTTAATTTTGATCTCTCGCTAGGCTATACTCATAGAATGCTGCTGTAGATTAGAACGGTCAAATATTTTTAATCTTACATCTACTTCCACTGGATGAAATAGTAACTTAACCTTCTCTTCCATACAAAAAAAAGTTGCATATCTGATTTTAATATGAAATTCATTCTAGAAATTGGATTTTTTTAGTGGACTTCTTAAAAATCGCTTTACTTGTCCATTTCTATTATCTACATTTAAACTTCTTGTTAAGAATACAGAAGTATTTATTCCTACCTGGTGGGTACCTAGAAAAACATATCTAAGAAGTATCACAAAATTGGCAGAATTTAAAATCAGTATTCCATATAGAAGATTTATTGAAAGTTTTAAAAATTTTATACTACACTTTGGATATTTTGTATACTTACTGTTTTTTTTATACATAACTGAATGTATTTTATAGTTATTAAAAAACCTGACAATCTAGGTAATATATGCATATTTTTCATTTTGAAATCCAATACTACTATTATTAAATTAATAGCACAAATATTCTTGAAAAGAATTAATTATCCCATTGTTTAATTATCAAGATGGCGAAAATATTTAATCCAAAAACTAAGTAAATGTGTACACACCTACTTTTATAATCATTTATTAACAACTATTTACAATATTTTCTCAGAATATTGATCACTGTCGGTTTACTTAGTGTTAACCTTTTGAACAAGTATTTATCGTTACAAAAATTAATATGTTCAATTCTGTATCAAATATTATCTTCTAACACTATATTTGCAAACAGTAAACATTATACTGATTATACTCTCTAATTTAATTAAATCTTTTAATATCCATGTCTCTAATCTACACTAAACAACAATATTTAGGTTATATTTTTGATTTCGCGATAACCTATAACATAATAACGAACTAAAATAAAACAGTTTATTTTCCAGATAATTTTTCGACTGTTCTAACAACCATTCAAATTTCGTCATTTTGTGTCATGTGGAACAATTTTACCCAATTATGTCAACATTAGACTGATAATTGCATTCAGTGCAATTTTCAATCCCTATGACAACACGATCGAGTTTGACAACTTCATTCAAATAAATTTCAAAATGTCACATTTCTACAAAACCATACTTGAATCTCGATCAAGAACACCACAACAAGATTATAAATATTACGCGTGGTAATAGATCTTCTATAGTAGAGAACAGCAACGAATCTAATGTTAACTTAAATTTTAATAATAATTGTACTTTCACTAACTGTACTTTTAATAAATAAATGTTTCGTTATATTGAGTTATGATTTTTTTTTTTTGAAAAATTATCCGCCGAATATCCCTCGGACATTGATGAATGCCTCATAATTTCATGACAAATTTCTCAAGCTCGTTGCTTGGTAACAGCACTCAGCCTTCGGCTTCGTGCTGTTACCAAGGAACGAGCTTTCTATTGTCATGAAATTATCTCGTCTGTTATCAATGTCCTAGGGATATTACTACTGATAATTTTTCGACTGTTCTAACAACCATTCAAATTTCGTCATTTTGTGTCATGTGGAACAATTTCACCCAATCATGTCAACATTAGACTGATAATTGCATTCAGTGCAATTTTCAATCCCTATGACAACACGATCGAGTTTGACAACTTCATCTAAATAAATTTCAAAATGTCACGTTTCGGCAATGAGAATGTTCATAGTATAAATGCGCTAATCAAAAAATATCCCAGAAATACAACCTACAGTTACAAGTATATTTGTGAATCTAATGTTAACTGAAATTTTAATAATAATTGTACTTTCACTAACTTTACTTTTAATAAATAAATGTTTCGTTATGTTGAGTTATGATTTTTTTTTCGAAAAATTATCCGCCGAATATCCCTCGGACATTGATGCATGCCTCATAATTTCATGACAAATTTCTCAAGCTCGTTGCTTGGTAACAGCACTCAGCCTTCGGCTTCGTGCTGTTACCAAGGAACGAGCTTTCAATTGTCATAAAATTATCTCGTCTGTTATCAATGTCCTAGGGATATTACTACTGATAACTTTTTATTCAGTAAGTACTTTATTTGGGCAAATTAGCCTTACTTTATCTGTCAGTTTATCTGTTTAGATTTCTTTCCTCGGTGACTAACATACTACTTTAAATTATTTTATATTAAATCGTACCTTTAAAATAATAATATTGTTTATTAATTATATTATTATGTAATTAATATTTTTTGTATTATCAATTAAACGTGTCGTTTTAGAAACAAAATAAAATTTACTTATAGGTTGAAATGTTAGTAGATCAGTTTTCATTATTCAGATGGCGTTAGCATTTTAAATCTAAACTAACATAAAACTTTGCTAATATACTGGTAATTTATTGAAAGATACAACAACAGCAGACATCAATATATTGAACAAGCAAATAGTCAACACAATGCAACAGGCTCAAACTATATATTGTCCGGCAAGCAAAAAAGATGAAAAACTAAGTCAACCCACGAAAACCTTTATAGAACTAAGGCGACAAATAAAAGGAGATAACACTTCAAGCAAAGAAGCGATTAATCAAATAAATAAGACGATCACAAAGGCAATAGAGCAAACTAGGAAAATGAAAGTTTTGAAGAGGTGCGTACAAAAGGGGAAAATAGAAATTAACAAACCGAGAAACAGAACTGGAGAAGAAACAACGAACAGAGATGAAATATTAAAAATAGTCGAAGAGTCCTACACAGAGTTATATAGATCAAGAAAAAAATATAATAATACGGAACCTCCAATTACACTAAAAACTGGGGTATTAAACCAAGGATCAGATTTAATGCCCGATATAACAAAATCAGAAATCAAAGAAGCCCTGAAGCAAATGAAAAATAATCGAACCCCGGGTGAAGATGGAATAGTATCAGAAGCACTAAAAATTGGAGGGGATGTATTACTTGAAAAAGTTGTTTACACGAATACTAGTTAAGAGTATGAAAAGAAAATTAGAAACTTATCAACCAAGGGAACAGGCAGGATTCCGAAAAAGTTACGGAACAAATGACCATCTACAAAGTATAAAACCCTAATAGAGAAAGCAGTGGAATACAATAAACCTCTAGTTCTAATATTTATCGATATTCACAAAGCCTTTGACACAGTTATGCTAAGCAAAATATTACAGGCGCTTAAAGAATGCCGGGTAGATTACAGATATACTAAATTATTATACAAAATATACCTGCAGGCAACAACCACTGTCAGATTACATACTAACAGTAATCGCATAAAAATAAAACGGGGGTTAGACAAGCAGACCCAATGCCACCTAAACTTTTTAATACGGTGCTAGAACATGCTTTTAAAAATTTGGATTGGATGACAAAGGGAACAAAAATAGATGGAGATGGAGATGGATATCTAAACAACTTACGTTTCGCCGATGATATACTTATAACAGCTGAAGATCTAGGTATGGCAAGAGAGTTGGTACAGGAACTCATTGTGGCTACAGAAAATGTAGGTTTAAAAATAAATATCTCGAAAACAAAAATCATGACCAATTTGGTACCCAACCAGAACATCAGTATTGGTGGGAAAGAAATAGAATTCCTAGATAGATATAAATACCTGGGACATGAAACTATGATTGGCAGGGATAACCAGACATATGAACTGAAGAGAAAAATCGGCCTTGGGTGGGCAGCATTTGGAAAACTAAGAGAAACTTTTAAAAGTGAGCTGCCCACATGCCTAAAAAGAAAGGTAATTGATCAGTGCGTCCTCCCAGTCTTGACGTACGAAGCAGAAACACTTACCTTAACAAAAGCAGCAGCTATCAAACTGAGAGTCACGCAGAGAAGAATGGAGCGGTCCATGTTAGGAATAACTCTGCGAGACAGAATAACCAACGAAGACATCAGGACAAGAACCAGAGTGACTGACATCATCGAGAAGATAGCCAGACTAAATTGGAGATGGGCAGGACACATAGCCAGAATGACAGATAGGCGATGGACAAAGAGGTTATTGGAATGGAGGTCAAGGGAAGACAAGAGAAGCGTCGGTCGGCCACCTACAAGATGGACTGACGATTTAAGAAGACTCAATAAAAACTGGATAAGAGCGGCGCAAGATTGACGGGGTTGGAAACATGATGAAGAGGCCTATGTTCAGCAGTGGACTCTTGAGGCTGGATGATGATGACGAACATAAAGCTTTAAATTATTTTGTATTAAATTCTACCTTAAAAATGTTATTAAAATTAAGTAATAATTATATTAATATGTAATTAATACATTATTATTAATTAAACATATCGTTTCAAGAACAAAATATGATTGAAATGTAAAATGGTTGTAGTTAAGATTTCTTTCCTAAATGGCGTCGTTAGTTAACTGGACAAACGGTGTGCAAACAATTTAATTAAACCCAGCCTGTTCACATCTAAGAATTATGTTCGGAGGTAACAATTCATTTGAGCAAGGTGTATTAACTCGAGTTAAAAACAGGAGTCACTTCACCGCGCTCCAATGCTTCAGACTATCCCTTTCCCCCATAAACACTCTCACGCTCGATAGGGGCAGAACTATCAACCAAATGCTCTTCATATCCATATGGGAGTCCTGGTTAATAGTACTCCAACATGGTTTCCTATCCGACTCAAATTCAGGACAGCATGACGCACTTTGTTACTGAACAAACGGTGACTTGTCATCATAGCCTTTTATATAGATAGATTATATACGTAATTAAATTTATTATGATACTTATTTTAATTTTTTTTATTTTAGGTGAGCACTTTAATAAGTAAATAAGACTCTGAAACATGGTAGCTCCTAGATTTAAAGAAGTTAATTTTCTATTGACTATTCAGAAAAATCGATGATAAAAAGTAAGTTGTAAGTAGATATTTTATTTTTAAACTATTTTTACACTTTCACAGTAGACCTGTATTATTGTAAGAAATTAAACAAACATTTTTTCAAAAAATCAGAAATTACAAAATTCGTTTTCATTATTTTCTTCTTATAAATGGATTTTCTGTTTATTATTGACAACGATAGATGCTTTGCATAAATATTTTACTTTTTTACCTATATAGATAATAATGTAAAAATAGTTAATTCATCATTTATTCACAGATCAATTACTTGGGTACATTGTAAACGTCTCTCACTAGATTATTAAAATATAGATTTATATTATATTTCCGAACTTTAAAACTCATAAGGATTTACATAAAATTAACAATAAAATGAAACAAGTTTTTAAAAGATAAATATAATTTCATTTTATGAGATATTAGAATAAGCAAAACTTTTAATCAATAATATGTTTCGCAAGAAAATAAAAATAAAAAAGTTTTATGTATATAGAAGTTGAACATTTAATGCGAATTAACAGTAAAATGAAGATAGAACGTATTAGCACAGAGTTCGCAACAAATGAAAAAGTAATAAAAAATCTATATAATTTATTGTATATAAATATAATAAATAAATAAATAAATATAATATATATAAATATACTAGGTAGTGACACACTTACTCACAATCTATTTATTTAGCAAGCGACGACCGGTTTCGACCCCTACACTTTTCTGGTCATAATCAGGTCACCGGTAAGTAAAATACGGTGTTTGGAATGATTCCGGAACAAGGTCTGTTGGTAATATGACGTGTTTCAACTGCTCATTTATGCTAAAGTATCGTGTCTGGAGGTCTAACGGAACCGGTTATGAAACTCGCTATATTAACAATAAACTTTGTAGACCGTACTTTAGCATAAATAAGAATTTGAAACACGCCATCTTAATAATAGAACTTGTACTGGAATCATTCTAAAAATTGTAATTTACCGGTAAGCTGATAATGACCAAAAAATTGTAGTGCTCGAAATCGGACGTCGCTTATTTGTAACGATAATATTTTGCCTACCACATGGGGTATTAATATAAGGGGTAGAAAATTGGGGACAGAAACTACTAGGGGTGGAGATAAGGCAAGCAAAATAATCGAAACATATGCGAACGGCACTCGGGGTTTGTTAGGAGAGCTAGGGTCGTGGATAAGTAAATGGCAAGGGGATTGGATTGTGGCAACTACAAAAAAATGAAACAAAAGGTCATGAATCTCTTGAGACAAACAAAACAAAAAGAAACAGAAAACACCTCTAGTAATTTTGTTAGGCACCTCGAAGTGGCGAAAGACGCCACTTCGAGGTGCCTAATTAAAACCATTACAACAGCTAGTTGTAACTAAGGAAATAATTAGTAGAAAAACAAAACATATCTTTTTCAAGTAAAACTAAAAAAGGGTTAGTTAAAAAAAATAAACAAAATGTTAAGAAAAAATTTAACATTTATTGTTATGTCATCATAAACATTAAAAATAAGACAATGCAAAAGAATATTCATTCACATCATGGATGTAAATATCAGGTCCATCCTGGTGTCTACTGTTTTGTTACAGTATTGCTTTAGTTACAACAGATAAAACACTTAAATTATCAATTCATACAATATCGATATTTATATAAACAGATATTTATCATTTTACAGTTTTCTAATTCTAAACAGAAGCTATATTATTACAAACGCTTCCATTACTAACAACAATAATTAAAGTAACCTTTCTACCAGTAAACGATTACAATTTATTAATTTAAGAAAATACTACATTATTTTATTATGAAATTATGATAATCGCTTTTTAACAATTTAAAGGTTATATCGTAGAATCAGAAAATTTTAACCTAAGGTATAATATTTTATCAAGTAAGAAAGTTATAAATAGTAGATGCCAAGTAATCCGATATTACATCGTATTATATTGCTTGACGACGTAAAGTTTAAAGTAGCGTCATTAACTAAGTTAGAATTTGAACCTGCTGTATTCATAAATTAAGTTATTCTGTATATTTATATAATGGAAAACTTAACAATTTTACTTTAGTTTGGACAATCATTATATTAACCATGAAGTTCAGTCACAACATTTGGTAAAACATTGGCGTATGTAAGTATAGGAAATACAAAATAAAAATTTTGAATAAAAAATAAATATATAAATAAATATGTTTAAATTGAAATAAAAAACAAAATATTTATTGAAATTATTATAAGTAAAATGGTATCGCAGTTATTGTACATTATTTTAAATCCGTTATATATTTGAATTAGGTATATTGGATATGAATGAATGAAGATAATTACTTTTTTTTAAGGAGCCTTTTTATTAAGGATCATTTAATGCTGATTGCCTAAACATTCTTCTTTTATTACAATAGCTAGATGAATATTATTTTGAAAAACTTTATTAGGCATACCTTTTGTTTCAAGTTATCCCACAAAAATGTCAAACTAGATGTCCAGAGGTCTCAAAAACTATAGGGATTCTTATTTATTACTTTCCCGTTAAAAGTGTATAAAACAAAATCTTCGACGTTTTGTCTTGTAATCTAAAATGACTTTTGCTAAAAGTTTCTTATATTTAAAAAAAAATAGTAATTTCCTCTAGATAATACGTTTTGGCAAAACTGACAACCGAGTAATAGCTGTTTTTAATTTGATAGGAATTGATGGTCTGGTCAGAGACCAATCGGTATTTAAAATCACTTTCATAAATCAAAAGTATCATGGGATGTCAATTTTCTAGAATATACGCGAAAAGAGGTCATTTTTCGATACTTATCGACTCTGGACAGGCCTAAATAACACTGACGATCTTTTGCATGGCGCAAAAGACAGACGTCTGGCGTAAATTCGCCAACGCACTGTAGGTGCACGGCACTATAAGAAGAAGAAGAACTATATTTGGCCTGGTTGACTCCTAAACTTACGATGAATGTCATCCCAAAGATGTTCAATGATATTTACATCAGGGATGCCGGCTGGTCATTTTAAAGTATTAATTTCTACTTACCCCGCGTAATTTGTCACCATTCCTGCAGTATGCAGCCGTGCATTATCATGCATAAAGATAAAAATAAAATTGTCCCCAATAAATAGACCAAATGAAACTACTGCTTTTACCAAATTATCCTAAATAACACTGAGCTTTCAGGGGCACTATTAATTGAGCTTTAAATAAAGCAGTTTAACCTTGAAATGAGACTACAGCCCAAACCATGACACCACCACCGCCAAACTTTCGTCTTTGGCACATACAAACTTGGGCATATCTTTTATTTCTCCATCCCCAAACTCTCTCTTTCTCTGCCATCGCCAGACTTTAAAGAGAACCGCGATTTATCATTTAAGAGAATTCGGCTCCAATCCTATATATCCTAGTTTTGACGTTGTCCAGCAAAAATCAATCAATTCCTACAGTGTCTGAGTTATAATTCCTGAACAATAGCTGGCCCTCTTACCATTAGTCCTGTTTTATTGAGGCATCTTCTCACCATTCTCTTACTTACATTCACATTTAGAACCTCATGCAGACGGTTTTTTTTTCAGCAATTGCAGTAGAATAGCGAAAATTTAACAGTTCCATCACAAAAAAATGATTTTTTTTGCGACGCAACTCTTATACGACCATAACCAGCTCGACGTGAGCATGTACCAGTCTCTATAAAGCGTTAGAAATCTCACCGTACTGTATTTCTCGAAATACCTAAAGTTTCGGATACATAAACTTGACTTCTTCTATAATAATTCGACTAACATTCGATAAACATCTACTGTAAATAATACCATATCCCAATTATTCAGTTAGTCTAAATCCACGTTTGAAAAGCTAAATTACTTTCATTTAGCTTACTTAGAATTAGTTTGATTGAATGCTTTCAACTTAGAAGATAAACAGCGCCTACAAAAAAACAACAAAATAAACGTCAAAACTGTCAAAAACAAACATACATAATCGCAATAAATATGTTAATTTATACGCAATACAAAACAGTGCAAAACATTTCCAACGAATTTTTATTTTCGGAAATTTATAGGGTGGCTACTATTTTTGCCGTTTAGTGTATAAAATCAAATTCCAAAATAAAATATTAAAATTCTATTTTAATTTCTATTAAGCTGCTTAATGAAGAAACGAATGGAAATAAGAAAAACAAGTGCAAATGGTAGGGATAGTCAACCACACGGCGAAAACAATGGAGACTCCCACCATTGAAAAAATAAAAGAAATCACATACAGCATGAAAAACAATAAAATTGCAGGCAGCAATGGTCTTTCTGCAGAACT